AAGCATCAAGCCCGGGGACAGATGACGGGGGGATCAGACAAAGGTCACACGGAATCCCTAGGGGGGGCAAGCCCCACCTTCCCATGGATGCAGGACATCCCGGAAAGACTGAGGCTCAGACTGGGGTGGACGCCGAGGCCAGTGCCGGGGTCTTCAAAGCCGTCCCTCATCCTGCTGTACGCTGGGAAGGATGATGCGGGGGCCCTGGATGCCTACCTCCATGCCTACAACCCGGCCTTCTCGGAGTACATTTGGGCGGTGGATATCAGGAGAAAGGGCGGTGACCTGGGCCAGGACATGCTGGGCGAGGAGCCTTACTCGACGATGTGCTCCATGGCCATGGCGGGCAAGGTCGCATTGGTGGGAGGCGGCCCCAACTGTAGGACGTGGAGCATCCTCAGGTGGTTCCCCAAACCGGGTGGCCCGCCGCCGGTGAGGGGCAGAGCAGAGCAGACCTTGTGGGGCTTAGAGGACTTGGAGCCCCGGGTTATGGAGGACACGGACAATGACAGCGTGCTCATGCTCCGTCAGATGTACCTGACCTCGCTGGCCTACAAGGGGCTGGGTCAGCTGACGGTCCCGCAGGTTGGCTCCTCCTTCCTGGAGCACCCGATGGACCCGATGGAGCCCGAGCGCAGCGAGATGCTCATCGATCTGGGTCACGCGGGCCTACGTTCAATGGGCGAGGGCACTCCACCACTCCCTCATCAAGTTTGATGAGTGCCGCCTGGGCCAGGTGGTTGTGAAGTCCACGGCATTGTCAACGGACCTTCCTCTCCACCATTGGCATGACCTGCGTTGCAACCACGGGTCGCACCAGGGGAGAAAAGCTCAACTCCAGTGACCTCAGCCGGTACCCGGAGCAGATGATGCAGGGTCTAGCAGCGGCCATCCTTTGCCGAGCGGGACCCGTCCTGGAGGCGCTGAGGCCGGGGGGCATGGCGCCCCAGGCTAACCCAACGACCCCCCGAGGCGTCCAAGGGAGCCTTCTCCCAGCACGCCGGGGGACAACAAGCGCCGGTCCCGGAGGCTGAAGGCGGGCCAGCAAGCGTTGGCAGGTCTGACCTTGGGCTCACTTCCGGTCTCGGCCTCGGACACTCCAGAGGCTGGGACATCGACACAGAGGACTGGCGAGGTGGAGGAACTTGGGGGGGGAACTCTTCCCCTGGACCCATGGGCACACCAGGGCATGGAGATTTCGGATCGGCCTACCATCCTGCCGATCACTCACGACCCCAATATCTCCGACAAGGTCATGTACCTCCAGATGGCTTTCAAGCAGCGTCCCTTAAGAGACGGTGGAGGAAAGCCCTCATTGGGACGGTTGGCCCCGTGGGCCCGACCGCTGTCCAAAGCAGCAGCGCTGGGGGCCAAGATCTGTGTCCTCACTTCGCCGTGGGGGGACAAGCTCCAGGAGTCGCTCTCGTTGGGGGAGGGGTCACATCCCTTCCCGGAGGACCTGCTGCTGGCGCCGGGGGCAGGCCGACCAGCGGACAGCCAACCCTTCTTCCTGGACATTTTGCACAGCGTGGCTCTGAACATTCAGGACCCCGACCACCAGTTTCCCCGGGACCTGGAACAAGCCACTCAAGAAGGAGCTGAAAGGGGAGGAACCGGAGTTCCAGGAACTCCCCCACCCAACGGGCAGGGGTAACTACCCCTCGCTTCAGCGAGCTCATCCGGGGCACATTTCTGGAGGAGGTCCCCATGGGCATGGTGGAGGGCCCCTTCAGTAAGGAGGCGGCAGCATCGCGATGTGGCTGCGACAGCGAGGACCTTTGTCCCGGCCCCCTGGCGGGAATCGACGAGGGGGACAAGATCCGCACGATCTACGATGGCTCGGTGGGAGGGGCCAATGACACCATCAGGAACCAGACGGTGGAGAGGACGACGGCTCCGACGGTGTTGGATGGGGTCCAAGCTCTCCATTGGCTACATGCGGCAGCCGAGGAGGGACCCCCCTCTCAGGGTGCCTCTGGCCCCGAGGGGGGGATCGTCAAACCTCCACCTGGGGGCTGGCTCTGGCCGGAGCCGGGCACCAGGTGGGTGCTGCTCAAGGCGGACGTCACCAAGGCCCACCGGAGAGTGAAGGTTATCAGGAAGGACTGGCGGTTCCAGGTGGCCTCACTGGGGGAAGAATGGTGGGTGAACAAGGTAGGCACATATGGCATGGCTAGTGCCCAATCCTACTGGGGACGCCTAGCAGCCCTTCTGCTCAGGGTCCTCTACGCGCTTTTCCCTCAAGTGGATTGGAACTTCGTCTTCGTCGACGACTTCCTGTGGCTGCTTCGAAGCGAGGGGGCAGTGAACTTGGCGGTGGCGCTGCTGGCCACTCTCCTGGCATTGGGCACCCCACTTAGCTGGAAGAAGACGCACTTGGCGGAGGTTAACACGTGGCTGGGCTTCGTGGTCCACCCGAACATCCCGCAGGTTCTCATGGCGGCCAACAAACACATCCTGGTTATGGAGGTTTTACAGATCATGGTGGAAGGGCAGGCGATGCACTCGAAGGACATCGAGAAGGCCCTGGGCCGCATCCAATGGGCAACGGCCGCATGTCCGCTGGCGAAATCGATGCTCCAGCCACTTTGGGCCTGGAAGATGGCCACCACCACGGTGGGAAAACCCCCTAAGGTGGTCAAGATGCTGGCGTTCATGCTGCGGTTCCTCTTTAACACGCCTTTCGTCCAGTACTCCCCCTACTTGCCGAAGTCCTCCTGGTGGGGTTGCAGCGACGCTAGCGCCTCGGACGACGGACTGGCATTTGTGGGAGGTTGGTGCTCCAACACGGTGGAACCGGACAAGAAGGAGGTGTACTGGTTCCATGAGCAGATCCATGTGGAGGAGTACCCTTGGGCTTTCAAGAATGGGGATCCAAAGCGGAGGATTGCAGCTCTGGAGATGCTGGGCACGCTCTTCCTCTGTAACATGATCCTCACGCACCAAGGCCCTCTGTCCTCCCGGGTCCGACTCCCGGTGGGCAGTGACAATCAGGGCAACGTCATGGCGATGCTCAACCTTGGATCCAAGAAGCCCTACACGGCGGCGATCCTGATGGAGCTGGTCTTCCTGCTCCACACCCATGGCTGCTCGCTGGCGGCCAACCATGTGCCCCGTGAATTCAATCAATGGGCTGATGAGCTGACGCACCCAGACTTCTCTGGGTTTGACCCTTTGCAAAGGGTCCCCAAGCAGGAACTTTGTGAAGAGTTTGTTTTTCTCCCGCGTCTCCTGAATGGAGAGGCATTTGATCTCAGCGTGGACCCACCCATGCTCCCGTGACCGGAGCCGGTGGGTGACTCACTTCCCCTGGTGGCAGACCCCCCTGTGGCCTGGGTGCCACGGGCCCCGGCTCAGGGGCGGGCGCTATCAGTCTGCACACCCGTTCTTCAGTTTTTGAGAATTGTGAGTTGGGTGGCCCATGGGGCCCACCCAGCGTTGGTCATCTGACAGGGGAAGATGAGTCCCTGGCACCAACACACTGCTCGGATGAAAGAGTTATCGCGTGCTCGTGTGTGGTGCCGTTTGGTTAGCTTGCATACACATATATATATATATATGTATAGTTGGGAAAATGAATGCCTAGAAAAGATTGAATCTATGGTAACTGCCATGCTTTTCTGCTGTTGCGCATGGAACGCGGCTGCGGCAACTCCCCGCCGCGCCATTACATACATTCCATACATCACACACACACACGCACACTACACACAGCACATGCAATACATACATGCGTTACATATACATACATACCTACATGCATGCATGCATTCATGCATACATGCATACATGCATACATGCATACATGCATACACACATGCACACATACATGCGTACATACATACATGCATGCATGCATGCATACATACATACTTACATACATGCGTACATACATTCATACGTGCATTTGTACTGAAAAACATACACGTGCATACAGACAGACAGAGACAGACAGACAGGAGGGCAGGCAGGCAAGCAGGCAGACAGACAGACAGGAGGGCAGGCAGGCAAGCAGGCAGACAGACAGACAGACAGACACACACACACACACATGCTTTCAAGCTTCCTGCATGCATTCTTACTTGCATACATGCATACATGCATACATGCATACATTCATACACGCATACATATGGGCATACCTACCTAACCAGCCTACCCACCTACATACACACGCCTACACAGCAACATACCAACATACTTTCGTGCATACGTACATACGGACATATGTAAATATACGTACACGCACATACGTACACATACGCATACTTATGCATGTACGCACACATGCATATACATATACATGCACATATGTACATACGTACGAACGTAAACACACATACGGACAGACAGACAGGCAGGCAGACATACAGACATACAGACATACAAACATACAGACATACAGACATACATACAGACATGCAGACATCCAGACATGCATGCAGACATTCAGACATGCATACAGACATACACACAGAGAATGGCAGGCAGGCAGACATACAGACCTACAGATGTACAGACATACAATCATGTATGCATACAGAGAGACAAACAAGCAGACATGCATGCAGCCTTGCGAGCGCACGTCTATACATACATACATACATGCATATATGCGTACATACAGACATACACACAGACAGGCAGGCAGACAGGCACACATACAGACATACAGACGCGCAGACGTACACTCATACACACATGCTTACTTGTACAAAGGCAAACACAATTGCATGTGAATTTGAGATGATGAGAGCACAGAGGCATTTGTTTTTGTGAAGGTTCAGGTTGGGCTTGGAAGATAGTTGGGCACGTGCAGAAGCCGAAGCAATTCAACTTGAAACATCCTTGGCCATGGCTAGCAATGCCTTATGAGCCTGAGTAAGGCTCCTGAAACGGGTGCCAGGGAAGGAGGAGAGTTTCATGTCTTTCTGATGAAGAAAGGTGCCAACAGGTATTTGAACTGTTTGGGCCTTTGTCAGCGCGTGATTGATTGGCAGGTTCATTCCATCCGGGCTGCCTTGTCTGGTGCTTAGCTCACGTCGGCTGGGGTGGCTGGAAGGAGCAGTAGTCAGGGCGGACAAAGAATGCTTTTTACGTAGGCGAAAAAAAATATGGGGTATACAACCGCTGCCACTTCATATTACGGGGTACCGGGTATATGACCTAAGTTGGTTTCCCTTTCCTGCCTTGAAGATGTTCCAAAAGGGCAACAACCATCACCAACTATGAACATGGAGAGTTGCCTAGTTTGAGACACCTGGCAACATTAGTTCGCATCACACGACAACAATGTGTTTGTGTGTTACCGTCCAAATGGGTCTGTCTTCTTTCAGGGTACTCGTCTTTGGCACCCTCTTTGCGGGGTGCTCCAATTCTGAGAGCCCGAAGTGCCACCCAGAGGTGTTACCTGGACTTGTTGCCTGAAGTCTTCATAGTCCCTGCGTCAGGATTCTGAAATCAAAGATTCAATTCCAAAGGCCCCTGAACGCGCAATTGCTTGGCTTTCCAAAATAGAATTCAAGTTGTCACCTGGATTTGCAGAGCTGATTTTTTGCGGTGTAATTTCAACGGGGGTGCCGTTTTTAGGTTTGAAGTAGGGAGCCCTGTCCAAGGGGGTTTCAACTTGGTTTATCAGGGGGCCACCGGCCTCGCCCTGGCAAGCAGCCCAGGCAAGCTGGGATCGACCGCATCCCGCTGCAAGCCGCCACGGCCGGCGGCTCAGGACCTGATTGGAAGCCACCAGGCCACCAGGTGCCTATTTGCGGTTTCTGCTTGTGTGCCCAATGGGAGCTTGCGTGCAAAGTAGAGCCAGCTCGCGCTGGGGCGCACAACTGGCACTATGGATGCTTTGCCCAGCACTGGTTCAAGATGGTCCTTTTTGAGACTAGTAGGAGCGAAAGAATAATTACTAGCACTTGGGTCAGACCGTGTCTTAGTTTAGTTTCGAAATGCCCCACCCTAGTCATTTAGACCCTTACAGTAGCTTATTGCAAAAATGTTTGGCCCACATAAAGAAGTGGTTCCGGTTGCGTCTTGCAGGCATGCCAGGGGCTCGAATCCCCAACAAGCAGCAGAGGGGATATCAGAACCACGCAAGGGCCGGAAAGGAGGGCGGGAGGGAGAAGGTGGGCAGGGGGGAGGGAGGGAGGTACAGGGATCCCGTTCAGTGCTTTTTTTGTTGACGGAAGGCCGTTTCCAGGCATCACAGAAGCAGGAACTATGTCCCCTCGTGCTGTGGATTGTTTGCTTGCGGCTTTGCACTTTTCATCCCAATGTTTAGATGGCATTTCCCCTTGACACCACGGCCAAGACGCCAGCGTTGGGGACCCCAACCCTTTCCTTAAACATCTTCGAATCACTGTTGGCTATGGACTTTACTGATTAATACCTTCCGAAATGGTTGTTGGTGGAGGCAAATCCCTACCTGAACGACGTCCAGCAGAGGGTCCCCAAATGTCCCCAATTAAGATTCACATCCTGTCATTGAACCAACCACAAACAACCTCTTGGAGTTTTAGTTGGACGATGGCCAGGGTTTGGTTGCTACAACTTTGACAGGCAGCCTCAGGTTGAGCCTCTTTGTGGCTTTGAGCTTTCGCAGGGAACACCAAGGTGGTGGGTATAACTCCATTCGGATGTTCACCAAAGGGATCAACCACTCAAGATTCATACGTGAGGGTGGCTTAAAAGAGAGGGGGCCACATTACCTTGTCCGATATTGTCAATTCGCCCTTGTTTAGGGGGTCGCACAAGGGTCGCCTTGTTTAGGGGGTGCACAAGGGTCGACAAGGACGTAATCCCCTGTCTTGAAGCAACCCGTACCCAAATCGGTGCCCTTTTGCAAGTCTTGTTTGGAGGAGTTTCAGTTGGGTTCCCTTTCACCCTATCCGACAAAAGGAAGCGCCGGTTTTCCCCCACTGAAAATCCAATGGAAATTTTCTATCCGGGTGTTCCGATTAGCGGACAGGTGAAGAGCGGGGTTGGGAACGGCTTGCAAGCCGCGGCTCTGGCAGGGCTCATCAAGGCCTGGAAAGATGAAGTTCGGTAACCCACACCAGGGTCCCATTTTTTTTGCCCTCGTGGTTGAGAAATATGGCGGACCCCAGAACCAAGACGTCCATGACTTTGAGAATCTGATTTGTTCAACAGCTCACCGGAGCCGGTTAGTAGTTAGTAGGGACAGCCCCAGCCACATCGGTGCGGCCGCCTTCCGGAGATTTTTACATAGTTTTGGGCAAGGGGTAGAATGAGCTCATCGTGATGCAGGTCCTTTGCTTGGGGAGTTCTTGCTTTGGGTTTGGGAACGGTTGCGATGTACAGATAGAGGGCCTAGAGGGTATCTTCCCAAGATTGGCGCGCCATGCGCGCCCATTTCAGACACAGGGATGCTCCGAAGAGTTGAAAGACTTTCAAAATAATATCCTGTTCCCATGCCAATCCACAGGGCTGAGAAGAAAGAAGGCAAGGAGGTGGTATTAGCGTGGGAATCCCCGGAGAAACCCGGATGAGCTTGAGAGAATCCAATGGCATTCGGCTGGGGAATCAGCTGTGAACACTTGTTTGTCGCGCACGGCTGCTGTTGTTGCGACAAGGTGCCGCACTGGGGTGGTGCTTTCCTGCAGCCGATGAGACCCCGCCCAGATAGAAGGGGGTGCGCTGTTCTTGAGGGAGGCCTGTTCACAGGAGCACCAAAATCAAGCCACTCATGTTGGGGGTCCCCGATTCTGAGACAAGCCCCCGTTAGAGCGTTTTTGTTGGTGCCCGGAAGGATGGTTCAAAACGTCTCGAAGCCGCGCCAGGTGCTGCTTGGCCAGAGGAAGGGAATGATGCACCTAACGTGGCGGGCTTAGGCTGCCATCCGTTTTCCTTGGGTTCGCCTTGGGGTTTTGCAGCCTGCGTCGGGAATGAGTGAAAGGCAGAGTCATGAGTTTCCCTGAAACAGGAGGCTGGTTGCCAGCTGTCAGCCATGCGAGTGTCCTGTTCACAGCCTACAGTCTCCTCGGGTTCTTGTTGGTTCGACTGAAATGACCCCCTAACCTGATAGAAATGAGGATGGTGCCCGAACCGGCAAAAGATGAAGCAGTGTTTGCAGGGGGTCACAGTCACAGGCGCGTATAAGTCATGTTCCGATGCAAGCAGACACATGGACACTTCCCCCCAAAACGAACCTCGCTAGCCCCGGTATACCAGGCTTTATCAGACACTATTGGGCCCTATTGGGATTCGGGGGTGATTGTTGCTGGACAACCATAGGACATGATGGAAGCTGACAGGGGTTTGGGATGACGATGTTCATTTTGGGCGTTTCGCGAAACCCTGTCCGCTTCCGGAATGGTAACACATCCAGGAGCGCTACACGGAACGGATCAATGTTGCTGCTCTTGGTCTTGTTGGACTGGACTAGAATTGTCTTGGCACAGGTGATTGTCAGCAACGTGCCGACGCTTTGGTTTGTTATACATTCCTTTGGGCGTGTCTTGTTTTTAGGGTACTTTTTTTTGCTGATATTACAAGGATCACTTTGGTTCCCGTTCGGGGGTTTTAGCGGGACACCAGCGGGAAAAAGCCCGCGTGAGGGGCCCATTTTCAGACAAGGCCAAGGCGATCTCCGCGAGGAAACTGGTGACATCCGGCGCTGAGGCAGCACTTGCATCAGATACATCCGCTGCTGCAGGCGGGGACCTGACCTTGGGGTCTCAGAACTCAGAACATGTTGAAGAGTAGAGGAAATCTGTTGTCTCCTCCAGGCATATTTCATTTTTGAAGCTTGGGTATGACACAGCATAATCACATATTCGTTTCTGTGTGCCCTTGTGGGCTAAGAAGCATGAACCAGAATCTGCAGTAAGAGTTTGGCCAGGGGTTCATTTCCGGGACCAATATCTGAATAAAAGACAACCAAGCACAGAACCTGTTTTTGGGCGGGGGAGGGGGGGGCGTCCTTAGGTGGATTGAACACAGTAGCCAGAAGTCACGCTTGTTTTTGTTTGGGGGGAGTCCTTAGGTGAATTGAGCACGACCAAAAGGAAGCCTGGTGGTTTCTCGTTTTCGGGGCATATCGCATCTGGAGACGCTGTCAGGATGCACAGGAGCAAAACGTGATGTTCGCGTCAGAGAACCTGAGCTTCTACACCAGGAGCAAGCGCCAGACGAGCATCCCACAAATTTACCGGTGATTTGAACCCGGGATCCCCGGTTGATTGATAGGGGGGGTCTCCTTTCAGTGGGATTCGTCACTGCTGAAGGGGAACCCCCCCTATTAATAGAACCGGTGTTTTAATCCGGGGTCGACAGTACCAACACCTTCCAAGGGCTGCTGAATTGCCCCCACCTCCCAAACGCCCCCAAAGAAGGGCATGTAGGATACCATTGCATATCCCTTGGAAGATGCTGGTATTCCGTGGCAATTGTACACGGGGGCCCCTTGCAAATTTATCGAAAAAGGGGTCAACTCCATGTCTGAGACAGACCAACTTGGAGCGTGTCGAGGAGTGCTCACCAGCCAGGTGGTAGAACACACGCATTGTTTTGCACGTACTGTGGATGGACGAAATCCTGCACCGCTTTGAAACCATGGGAAAGCAAATTGTGTTGGTATTTCCAGGGGAATCATCCTTCCAGGGTTTCTTAGGTGGTGCAGAATTTCGTCCATTCACAGTATGGCGGGATTCTCTTGGGCAACGAGCTGACCCAGAATGAAAGTGCAGATTGTTTGCACAAAGAATGCTCAGTGGAAGTTGTAATCGTGATTGACGCCCATTCCATGTTTCTGCAAATGCGACCTCGCAAGGGCGTGGTTGTTAGGGAGTCGATCATCTTTGATAGATTATCATACTTGCATCTCACATGGGTTGCAGTGACTAGTCCAACGCGTTGTCTTCGTGTGATGGTGGCTGGAACCAAATCCAAGCCCTGGGATTTGAACCAGGCCATGCGGAATCTGGACATGTTCATTTTTAGCAGGAAGCGGCAGAGCAGTTCCAAGGGGGGGGGGCAACCTGAAGGGGAGTTCCACGGGCAGATCTGAGCCTCGGACCCTGTCTTTTGTTTCCCCTTAGAGACCAAATCGGACCCACCGCTCGTCACTACGCCTCCAGAGGGGCGTTTCCTTTTTTTTCCTCTAGTTGGATGACCTTTCCCGGCAATCCACGGGTCTCGGTCTCAGGAACCTTCCCCAAGCAGCCCCGCCCCAAGCTGTTTAAGACTAAACTAGACCAAACACTGGAGGTGTGTTTGGTTGTTTGGAGGTTGCTTTGGGAAACCAATCGGGCAACCCCCCATTCTTGGGGCTCCCTAAAGAAAGACACCCCATAAACTAGTCATGGGAATGAGACCATAAGACTACTTTCCGAGCATGCTGCAATCAGGACCTTGCTTGCTTAGCATCTGAGAACCGCCGCCTCAGCTTTGACGGGGAAAACCTATTTACCCCTTTAAACTGAAGCGGCAAGGGAACACATCTGAGTGGTTCTTAAGTGGACTCCGTTTCGGTTGGAATTTGGGGTGTAGTTATTAAGAAGGGACACCAACAGGCCAGGTTCCTCTTGTTTCCCTTGCAAGCCACTCCAAAAGGGGTGCCTTTAAGACAACCCATACCCATATGACTTGTCTATGGGTTTGTTTTTCATACAAGTTTCGTTTGTGCTTTTCCTCAACCCAAACAGCGGATTGCCTCCAGAAAGAAATGGAGACTCCAGCATTCCTTGGGGACACCCCTAAAGAAACCACCAAGGATCACACCTTTGGGGCCCCCGTCCGTGTTTCAGACTTGCTGGTGCTCGGGAGGGAATGTGGGGGTCATGAACCCAGATTGATTCCCTCAAAGGAAACCGCCAGTTGGAAGGTTTATTCCAGGTTCATTCCATTTCTCAGGGGTTCCCGGAGATTCCCTCAAAGGAAACCGCCTGTGAAACCCATAGGTTCATTCCATGTCTCATTGGCTCGCAGCGGAGCCGAAGTTTCGGAACCGAAGCCGCCAGGAGCTCCGTGCACGGCATCACGGCCATGGGCTGGGGCGGCACCCTGGGTCAGGACCTCACCCTGGGGCCCCGGGCGAAGCACATCTTTGGGCGGGGCTCTTCCAGGGAAACAGCTTCGCATTTTAGAGGATTTCCGGAGCGTTTGGGGATCCCCTTAGCATTTCAGCTGTTTAGTGCAACTCCTTCCTTTTGGATCTGAATGCAAAAAAGTCCAATAGGTGCCTCATAACTTGCCATCCCCTTCGCATTTTACCCTGTTGAGTGACTTTAGTATTTTTTCTATTTCACCCATGAAAAGTCAAACTTTTAGGGGGGGATCGCCCTCAAAAGGAAAGCCACACATTTTGGGGTACCCCCTCAAACAAAAACATACCCATGTACTTTTTGTTGAACTCTTTTAGGGAACTCCAGTAATTGATTCTTTTTTCTCACCCATCGAATAAACATCGAAAAGCTTTGTCACGAGGGCCCCTACACCTGCGAGGGCCAATTCGAGAAACGCCAGCTTTTTTCTTGGAGCAACAAGTCCATGTTGGCAGAATTCCCCCCCCCCTCACCATTTTCTAAACGATTTTCCGGGATTTTCCAAGCTTACCTTTGAAACCAAAGAGAAGCATTCCGTGCTTGGACCCTGTCCAATTTCAATCGAAAGCGAATCGCTGGGAGTGGTCGCACGATTTGAGCCATTTTGAGTTCCGCCCAGCGGAGGATTTTCAGCCAACTGACGCGCCGCAACTGGGTGGGCGACTGCAGCCGGAACATGCGGCCCGAGCTGGAGGTCATGCTCCACGAGGATGCCCGAGCACTCACTTCGATGCCATTTGATCATGCATGGGAGCTCGTTGATGAGCTTGCGCAAATGATTGCAGCCGAGCAGTCACATGCTGCGGAAGGCAGCCAAGCGGACAAAGAGCAGGCTGTGCTCACAAGAGATCACGAGAGAAATGATAGCTTGCAATCCATAGGTAGGGTAATGGACGACAGTAGACTAAATGGGTGCATCGTTATTGGAAGGCACCCTTTTCAGGGCCTGTTCAAAGGCAACTGAAAAGGAACAACCCCCTTCTTCTTCTTTTTTTTGGGGGGGGATCCCGTATAAACGACACACCCAACTGCGAAGCAAAAGCTGAACATGTGATTATCACGAAAGCTAGCTTTAGCTAGCTGAAGTTTCTCCTTGCGTAAGCAAGGTAAGGGGCTCAAATGCCGAAAGATTGATTTTTTCAATTATTTGAGCCGAAAAGATTGAAAAACATCAATTATTTAGACCCCCCCCCCCCCTCCCCCCCCCCGGGTCTCAGGCTCGATTCCTCCCTGGTCCATCCCCCCCCCCGGGCAGTGGCTCAGTGTTCAGCAGTCTCGGTTTGCCCGTTTTGGACTTGGTGCTGCGAACTTTTACATGTTCCACCGATTCAGCTTGTTCATTTGAGACCTCAGTCTTCTCGGTAAACCACCTCGCAAGAATCTTTGCACACGCAGCATGCAGAACCCAGAGGTGCTTTCAGACAGCTTCTGGCGCCTCTCGTTGTTTTCATTTTTCAAGGTTTGCCACGCCACCATGTGCGTTTGCGTGTCGCATCCTACGAATCTTGCCGGGCCTCTCGTTGTACACAAGCTACCTATGAAACCACTCTGTCACCGACCCATCTCATGCAACAACTGCTAGCTTTCGTTCACCCGCTCCTCAAGTTTGTGTACCCCAGAGTTCAGAGTTCCCTATGGCATTCGTTGCCCCAGGCTGCGTGATGTGCACCGGGAGCACTGCCGAGTACTACAGGCGGGTTGGCAGGGGTTGGTGCAGAGTTCTTGGGACAGCAGCCGAAATTCATTCTGCGAATGCCCAGCTCGTGTTTCTGCTTTCGCCCAACTATCTCAAACCCCGCAAAATCCGACACATAAGCTGTTTGTTGGAAGCCAGGCGCCCCGCGTGACCTTGTCCGGGGTTTTGTCATTTGCGTACGCGACCCCCTAGAGTATGGCACTTGTTTTGGGAAGAAGCAAAACTCGCATGACATGCTTCGAGCCGAAAGGGCCGGTTCGGACCTCCGTTGGTGCCTTTCAGATCAAGTCCAAAAAAGGGCGTGCTGTTTTAGCTTTGGCATGCCCCTTCTGGCATGGAGCGTTGGCTTCGGGGCAGTCTGACTTTTAAAAAAAGGGAAAGCAGCAAAAGCGAACCAACCGCCTGGAGGGGTCCCTCATTGTGAGACACACCCATATTGTCAGCTTCAGCCGGTTATGCATCACCTTTTGGGCAACTTTTTAGATGAATGTTTTGTTGGTGTTGGGCTTAAGCCCTCTTTATGAGTCAATCAGCTGAAGACCATACTTGTTTGGCCAGTTTGATTGAACATGCTGGTTTCGTTTTCCAGCGCCATCTTTTAAGAGGCCGCCCGCCAGACCGGTTCGCGAGGAACCCTTCAATTGGAACCTCCTGCATGTGGCTTCGGGGACCTTGGTTTCCTTTCTTGGGTCTCCTCCAAACATTATACTTGATAGAATAGGCCGGGCAAAGTATGACTCAACATTATATGTGTTGGGTGCACCCAACTGCAGTAGACTCCACTCGGCAGGCCTGTGAGCAGCAGGACTGGGGTGGGTTCTTCAAAGGGAATGAGGGAATGAATTCTTGGGCTGCATGTTAAGGCATCCGCTGTGGTTTCCTTTCAGTTTTCAGGGAATCCCAAACGGTTCGTTCCCAACATCCCCCCCCCCCCCCTGTTAGTTCCAGAGTTCCTGAGCACCGGCAAGTACACCGTTTCTTCGATCGTTTGTACCCGCGGGTGGGTGTTAAAGTGTATTGTTTTTGTTTTGAGTTGGTATCCCGTCTTGGCCGCTGAACTTGTTGTTGTCTCCAAAATGAGGCTCAGTCAAAAGCCCCAATTTCTGCTCTTTCAAGGTGGGGTGGCGTTGAAAGGGGGCACACACACAAGGCACGCAACTGGAGGGTTGGCCAGCCAATCCGATTGCCCAATGAACGGCCCTACTAGCTCTACTAGGCTGAGGCAAACGACCGCATCGCCACTCGATGTTCTATCCAAGAAGTGGCACGCAGGCACGCGCGCGCCCTTGCAGGATGGTTTTTGTAGGACGGCTGCGCCGCCTTTTTTTCCCCTTGGGAGATGTTTTTCAGGTTGACGCAATTTGAAGATGAAGACTAACGACCTCACCTGACATGTGCGCTTGCAGTGTGATGTAGTGTGTTCATGTGTGTCGCTTTTTTGATTCGATACCTTTTTTTTGGGTTCAAAGGGAAACCGACATCCGCTTCCGTTTTTTTTGTCACACCCCTGCCTTTGTTTTTCCAGGACCTCCCCGCTGATGCTCTGGCTTGGCGGCGGAGGTTCCGCTCCCACGCCGCAGAAGGCGGGGCCTTTGTTGCCCGGAGCGGTTGGGGTTCCAAAATTGGCACATTTGCTTGGTGGCTCCCAGCCATCCCCTTAGCTTTTTACCCTTTTGAGGGTATAGAGGGGGGGTTTCCATTTAACCCACTAAAAGTTAAACTTCTAGCAGGGATCTGAGGACAGCCCAGTTTGAGGTTGGCCAGGGTTCAACTTTTTGACTACCCTAAGATGGACTTAAACCCACGGGTTCTCCTTGTTGGGGGGAAATGAACCTAAGTCTACCCTGGGATAGTTCAAAAGTGGAACTCTGGGGTTGCCTAAATCTGAAGCGCCCAGCATACAATTTACTAAAACAATACTGAGCTTTGGGCATGCTTGCGGAAGACAACCCGACATGTGGGGTACCGTTACGTGGAGCATGAGGACCCACAAGGGGGACTCCCTTGGGAACACGGAAAATGGAAGCTTGCCTTTAAACTCAAGTGCCCTCTTAAATGCAGGGTTGGGGGATAGTCGTTTGAAGTGGAAGTCACAAGGTCTGAGGAAGATGGGATTTGTCAGGTTCTTTGCTTCGACCTTGCATCTTTTTCAACTTTAGGATAACGATGGCGTCCTCACTAGTCACTAGCCAATCCGAGTCGCTCAAATCTGCCGTTGCTTTTCCTTCTTTTGGGACCCTGTTTTCGGCGCCGGCAAGCCCGAAGAAAGGCCACGACGACAGGCGTACTACCTGGTGGGGTCCTGGAACCGCTGGGGTGAGGGCATCGCCATGGAGGAGGAGGCGCCGTCCGGGCTCCTTCCCTATCAAACTTGCAAGGCGAGGATCCCGGCATTTCCCCCGGAATTTGTTGGTTAGCCTTTCAGCTTTTTGGAGCCCAAGGTCTAGGGTCATATCAAGGTAGGGAGATGGGGTGGTGGTACCTCCTGAAACCTTCTTTTTTGGGGGAGGCTTGGGAAGACAACACTCGAGAGGTTCCCAGACGGGGAGGAGAAGCTGCCTCTTTGAACCATGCTATTTAAGTGTTTACTGACATCGGACCTGTCTTCTTAGCTGGGAAGCAAAGGTCAAGTCGGTATGTTCAAGCGCCACGCAGCTGTTTTGAGGGACATCAATTGTCCTTCCGGCCAATTAGAACGGGGAATCACTTTCCTGAGAAGGGCTCACTTGACTCTCAAGCCAACCAGGGGACAAAGGCTACCCCAGCCAAAGGCGGGTGGTTCGGATCTCGGAACTGCGGCAACCGGACACCGCTGGGCGTCGGACCTTTCGCGCGAGGCCTTCGGGATTTATGTGGCCACCCTAGAGATGAGGCAAAGCCTGGAGGAGGGGCCCGGGGCCGCCCCGGTGGTCTCAGCGTGTTTCGTGGAGTGAGGAGGGTTTTTTGGGGTCGCAGCATAGGAACATTGATTGAAATGCGCCACTTGGGAGGTGGATGCAGATATATGTACACTAGTGTACACAGAAGATCTATTATATATTATATATATATATATGCAAATACATATGTACATACATACATACATATGATACATATATATATATATATATGCACGCTTACACGGAGGGGGGAGTTTCAAGCAGCATCCTTTGGAGGTTGTTTGTTGTTGTCCTATTTTGGGGGATGGTCCCTTGCAAATCCTTTGTTGGAGGTGGTTTCCTTGTTTAGCATTTTGCTTGGTGGGGAGATCCGTTTAAGATCTTTGGTAGAAGGGGGTTCCTTCCTTCCATATTTTTTCAGGGGTGTGTTCCTTTCCGATCCCTTTGGGCGGAGGTGCTTCCCGCTTTCTGCTTGCTGGAGGAGGTTGACCGAAAGAAGTGTGTCCTTTCTCCGCCATGGTCACTGGCGGTTTGGGCCAAGTTGTGTGGATCCACTTTGGTCACCCCCAAAGAGGGTTCCTTGCCGTAGTGACTGCATGAAGAGCCACACAAGCCTCAGATGTTGCTCCTGTGATCGTCACCTAACTTATTTTGAAGCGCCCTCACATCCCCATTCTTACTTGTTTGTCTTGCTTGAACGTAGATCTCACTGGTTTCCGATCGGATAATATCCTTCCAGTGCCATCTGTTTTTTAGGGAAATCCGGCAAACCGGCAGACACAGGGGGAACGGCCCCCAATTTTCCCATGCCCTCTTCTGGCATTGAAGCAAGCAATTTCGTCCAGGGGCTCGTATGCGTCGTCCAAAAGACGGGGTGTTAAATTTTGGCAGAAGGTGTGTTCGATTAGTTCAGTAGCATGAAACCTGCAACACGCAAGTTGCCGGAAGGCTTACCCAAGGTTTTGTGGGTATTCATATATGGCATATGGGCATGTCAAAATAGGGAGTTGGACACAACACATGGGGTGTGATTTTCTCTTCACGGTCAGAAAAAGGCTACCAAGCCCAAAAACGAGCAGCCGTATGAAACCGCCTTTGGTAAACAAGGGACCAACTTTCACAAAAAGGAACCACACACACCCCATAGCACTGCCAAACTTGGCTTATTTGCTCATGGTTGTTTGGCTTTTGGTTTTCTATCACTTATCCCTTCCCCGTAAACAGTTGTCCATTTTTGCAAGGACCCCTTCCCCTTGGCATCCCGTTGACCAGATGTGACACAGGAGTTCTGCATCTCTGTGGACGGAAAGGCGGTTTTACAGCCAGACCCCCACTGGACCCAGTCCGGCCGCAGCCCCGGCGCCCGGCGCTGGCGATCTTGTCATGCGGAGCCTTTGTTCCTCCTGCTTTTTTGGAGGGGGCGGGACCCTTTTAAGTCAACGTGGCCGGGTCTTAGTTGGTGGTTCAGTTCTTACCTGGCTTCGTGAGGCTGATAGTAAGGCCTATATAAAATCTGAACAAGCAAAAATCACAGAGTTTTGGGCACTGTTCAATTGGTTCTAGGACCTCTCCGTTTTGATTTCCAGCTTTTGATTCGTGGGCTCCAAGAGATTTTCCAATAACCCAGACCTCTCCAGTTGAAGTTGGTAAAGACGGGGCCCCTCCACTCTTTGACCCACCCTGCAACCCGCCTGAGAACATGGACACGTAGAGCTTGGGGTTCACCTAGTTCAAGGTTCCCTATGTTTCTTCTCAAAAGTCGGTTTGGAACACCCAGACCCCCAATGGGTTGCTTCCCTTTGTTCCTTGTTTGTTGGAGGGGGGAGGGAAACTCTCCTCAGTCAAATGTTCCTTGCGCGTGACGGCGCCGCGTCGCTGGCTTGAGTTTCGAGGGTGGTTGAGAGATTGCACTTTTCAGTTCTTAGTTACTTAGTTGACCTAGTCCACCATTTGGCACAGTTCTTAGTGCTTGTTTGCTTCAGAACCCCACCATTTGGCACACTGTGTCAATGGACATCATGCTGATTTGTCCAGACCTTGACACACATGTAAGCCAGCCGTTGGCTTCACGGCCGTCAGGCTCCAGGGCCTTCTACCACGAGCAGCCAGGCGCTTGATGACTTCATCCAGCGATGGGTCAACTCTGGGCGGTGGTTTTCCCGACCTTCGGAGGTCCTTCCATGGGGATAATTCTAACTTGTTTTCATCTTAATCATTTTATGTGGATTTGGATTTGTATGGTCCTCCGGATGAATCTGGCGTTGCATGTCTCCCGATTGTTGGGTGATTCACAGATCACGTGACCAGCGACTCTGGTGGGGTGATGTTTGAAGAGGCCATTGACTTTCTGCGAGGATGCTCCAGCAGACTTTGGAAAGGTAAGGAGCTCGACAGGATAGCATGGCTCCGGGCTTCGTTTCGTTTTTGTATTTGTTCGGTGTCCTTTTCGTTTGCTTGCTGAGTTTCAATCTGCAAAATATTTAGCCTTCAAGATGAAGCGTGTTTGCCCAATTTAATGACTCGAAACAATGTCTAAATCTTAGTTGCTGTGGTCCATCCGTCCTTTCAGCGTGGCACATTTCACCCATGAACTCTGGAGCAGTCCAACTTGCCATTCAATGTACAGGTGATTCCCCTTTCTTTTAAAACGATCTTCTTTAGACATAGGTCTCAGTTGGTGGTTTCTAAGAATGAATGCTTCATGGCGAGCTCACCTGGGAGTAAAACGAGCTCACCATGATATAGGGCCCTTGAATCGGTTTGCTTGTTAGCTTGGAAATGGGGGGATCCCCTGGTTCAGTTTGAACAGGGCCAAAAAGGGGTCAAAGCACATCCTCACAAGGCACTTGCTTTATTTAGGGTTCTAGTCATTTACCAAGGACACCTAGCTTGTGATACCGAGGAGAATCCTTGAAAGTGACAACGCAGTCCTGGCTCAGTCCCCCCCCCCCCCCTCCTTCAACTTTTTCAAACTTCCGTTTAGAGTCTGACTTGGGATTCATGACATATCCCACATGTCCAGCTGTTCTTGGGGGTATGAAGAACTAAGATAGAGATGGGTGAGGTTCAGACCTGTGTACGGCGGATTGCTCGCCTTGGGCACCAGGAAGGTCCCGTGGATACCCCACAGGTTGATGAAGTATGGGTGCATGCCATTCAGCGTTTGTCCATGGACTTGAGAGGTATTGCTGAAAAAACAAAATGTGCTGGTACCGCCTATGATTACCGTTTGAATAACTGGTATATAACCTCCACACCTCCAAAACCTACACCTGAAATTCCCTTGATTCTTGAGGCTAACTTGTTGGGGGTGGTTTAAAGGGAAGATCAGCTGGAAAACACAATTTCTTTGGCGGTTCCTTACCACCGACACATACCCCAAAACCAATCGACTTGTTGCACGATTCCAACCTGAGCTCCCCTTAAATGGTGGTTTGAATTCAATCATCAGCCGAAAAGGCGACTTAAAGCAAGATTTCATTTTGCCGGGGTGGTGTTTCGCGGAGGAACCTAGGGAACAGCGTTTTAGTTTTTCCCTGTTTGGAGTTTGGCCTATGCTTAGTCATGGTCCCACAAACGGTGATCGCCTTTTCTTTCCAGCTTTTTGGGAATTGGCAACAAAACATCGCGGATGAATCCTGGTTCTCCTCCAGAAGTATCTCACGCTTCAGTAATGTCAAGCATATTCTGAATATATGTTTTCAGTGTACCCCATATTTGGGCAAGATCTTCCTGTTTCTTGTGTGGCGGCAAGGCAGCCAAGCGCCTGATCGGTGCAATGGAAGAGGTGTGAGTCAGTTCTGAAAGCATATGGATTTGCCTGAAAATGAGAGATCCCTCAACACAGTTGGTGTGCTTTTGCTTTTGGTTTCGCTGTAGCACCAATCAACAAAGGGGTCCCCTAAGAAAAAGGACACACCCATTTGCTTTTGCTTTGGCCAGGAAAGTCCGGGAAAGGCTGGAGCATCCAAGCTGAGGCGGGCAGATGTGCGGATATGCTGCTGCCATTAGGGGCATGTGCGCTGTTCGGCCAAAACGGTGGCGGTAACCAGCCAAGGGCACTTTGTCCTTGCAGTCCCCCCTTTTAGAGTGCCCTTTGCTGGGCCCACACAGGGATACGCAAAAATAATGTTTTCTGATTCTGTTTCATATTTTGTGTACCCTAGAATGTAAAGTAGTTTTGGAGGCGACCCCAGTTTGATTTGGGTGTTGCAACAAATCCCAACCTGTGCCAGATTTCTTGAGCTCTCAGCTGTCGAGTCCAGCCAATGGTGGAAGATGTGCGACGTGTCAACCCGTTTGGATTGTGCCGCTCAAAGAGCTTTGATGTCAAGCAAGATCCGTTAGAACAAGGGTAGGGCAAACTGTGTTAGCCCTGGTCTAGTTTAGCGGGAAACTGAAATCAAGGGGTTCAAACAATAGCGGGTTAGACTGGTTTGAATGGTCTAAAGATGTTCGCGGTGGGAGGCACTTTCTCCTTGCAGTTCACAAAGTAGCCGATGGTGGCGAGTGAAGGAGACAGATTACATCCCTTTCACCCAACCACCAGTCTATGCTGTAGGTGAAAGGTTTTGAAAACTCATTGACCTCCAAGGGGGGCTGTTGGGGGTGGGTCTCAACTGTTAAACTCTTGGGTCCTTAGCTTGTCTCCGGCCTGTCCGAGGGTAACCCCCCAACATGGCCCCTTTTTGCGTACTTGCAACAGACCCAGGCCTCCAGTGCCCTCTCTTTCCAGTTTTGGCGGAGATTTCCCCTTGAGACCAAGTGATTCCAAGATGAAGCGGAGCCCTCGGCGACGGGTTTTGCCTTGAAGCAGTGTTTCACAGACATTTGTCTCGCATGTGTTGCCTGAAGCCAACTCTTCATGGAACTCGCAGTTCGGTTTCTCAGGCGGGCAGCCAGTTTCAAGTGCGGCTGCTGGTCTCTGGCAAGTGGCAGGTGGGTGAGTTGGGTCGCCAGGCTCCAAAGGGTGGGACCCCAAAGGCCAGCTTTTGGACACCTTTTGGACCTTGCGGAAACACATGACTTTGGCATTAAACCTACACAAGGGTCGGATTTGCCTTTCGCTCATTGCCAGACAAAGCCTTTGGCTCCCTTGGCGTCGGCTTCCCTTTGGCTTCCCTTTAAGTCCTGCAACAAGAATTGCTGGAAGCCCAAACTGAACTTTATTGTTCCTTTGCGCTGAGCTTCTTTTGTGCCAATTCTGCATACACTAGTTCATGCGCTTCGCGGATCTCAAGTTGCCGCCGAGTTCGAACTCGTGGTTGGTCAACCCCACCTGGGCTAAGCCAACGCTTGCAACAAGGTGATGTCAGTGCTGGCAGTGACCTCATTGGTCTCTATCATGAGTGGCGAGAAGTGCGCGCGTGTCTTGGCTTCACGTGAGCCCATGCCGCAGACGATCAAGGACAATTTGCGAGATACTTAATGGAAAGCTGCACGAGCCTCAATTTGAGTATTCCCGAGGACTTGCAAGCGAAGGCTCTGTATTTGCGCTTTGGCAAATGACGCGCCACTGAAGGTAGCGAGGGTCCCCATGAGTTTTATTTATTTTTCCCCACCAGCTGAAAGCTTTGGGGTCTTAGCCCAGATTGGTTTCGGGGTGGTCCGGGGCGGCCCTGAGGAAAGGTTCCACGAGGGTTCCACGAAGGTTCCACCAGGGTTTGACCAGGGTTCCACCAGGGCTCCACCATGATGGTTCCACGAGGTTCTGCGAGGGCTGCGGGGTGGTGCGAGCACTAAAAAGAGCACGGCATGCTGTTGGGGATATCACCTGAGCTTATCTTTCCCCCTTCCAGCAAACAACTTTCATGAGGTGTGCAAGGCTTCGTTTGGCTTTCATGGGACAATATATAAAACCCTGACAAGGTCACCTTTCTGAGGTCCCGAACGTTTTCCACACCCCCTGTCTGAAGATGGTTGAATCATGAGAAGGAGGCTAACGGCATGACTAGTTGTCATGCCGGATATCCTATGTTTAACTGCCCGCCCTCAAAGAAATCAGCTACAGGAAAGTATACAGGCAGTCCTTGTTTTCGCTGGGTATTTGGCCCAATCATTTTATATTTGGTGACTTTCCCTCCAAAAACGCATGAGCGGCAAAGCTGGTTCTTATTCTTTTCTAGCAGGGTCACTGGGAAGGGTGGCTTCTAATCTGCACACTTTGCGGCGCAGGGTTGGGGGGCCTAAACATAGCATCCGTCCCAACCCAGTGTTTGGTACTGGGTGGGGGAAAAGAGAAACACCGCAGCGACAATTAAAGCACCCACCCTTTGCCCCAAGTTTAGGCCTTTAAACCTCCCCTGATCAAATCTATATTTTTGAAAGGGTGGTTTCCTCGTTTTGAAAGGGTGGTTTCTTCGCTTACCTTTGGCATCACTGGGCAGTGAATGCACAAAAGAGTCGAGCGATTGCATCCTACGCTTGACCCCAGAGCTTATTTGACCGACCGTGAATTTGTTTGAGAACACCTCAGGTTCGTTGAAAACGGAGACTAAAGAAAGATCAAAGAGGAACCAAAGGGAAAGCGAAAGCCTGGTTGGCAAGCCAAAAGTTGCTGACGGAGAGAACTGTATCCCTGTATGCTGTAGCCTGCCATCCCAAGTATTGTGTGGAGGTGCAGTGGCATTACCACCAAAGGCACCCTGCCCGATTCATTTCTTCTAACTTGTGTGCACAGGGTATTCTATGAGCAATGGTCAACAACATCTAGAGCCGCTTGCTACGGGGATGACATTGGGTACACCAAACTGCACCAAACGGGCATGAGGAAGCCGGGGAAGCCATGTCAAAGGGGCACCATGAATATTGACCATCACTCATGTAGGGGGGGGCATGCTTTTCCCAGTCGGTGGCTTGAGGTTCGGTCAACACTTCCAGTCTTGTTTTGGGGCTTGGATTTTAGGACCTGGGGGCTCACTAAATGCCAACCACCAGCTTCCACGGCCACAAGGGGTCTCTGCGTCCTTTGACACACAGCTTCCCCGGCTTTGCCTTGCCCTTGTTCAAGGCTGTCTGTGCATGTTTTGGGAAGTGTGGAAACGCCAGCGCTTGCTGCTGTCCACGTTCCTATGTCTGGGCAAGTAGGTCATTCAGTTGTCGCGGAGAAATGGGTGTGTTTTGTTTGGGGGTACCCGCGTTTAAAGGGACACGAAACTGGATCCCATGGGACACTCCCCGGGTCGACCAGCACTCCCCGCGGTTGGATCGGCCAGGTGGTCACTTGGGAGAGGAGCCGAGCGAGCCGAGCGGGTCGGGTTCCCCTCCCCAGTAGAGCCCTTTTTCTCTTTTTTGGGGGGAGGGTTCCACTACTAAAATAGACTAGAGAAAAAAGGGTACCCTTATTCTGACCTCTGTACTAAATTCATTGAGGGTAAACCTGGTTTGGTTCCTTCGAGAATCATGATGTCCCATACGTTCGTTTAAGTCACTTTCACAGGGGATCCCACTGGTTGCAGTTTCCATCGTTTTCCCGGACAGGACACCTGGATTCCAACGATGTCATATTTGGGATGTGGTCAAGAGTAGTAGTTGTACTTATCAGTTGTCAGTGCCACAACTGGTATAGGTGTATCTGTTTTGAGAACAGCCTTCTGTATTGCTGACCCAAGTCTCGACAGCTCTTTGGCCTTAGGAGTATTGGAAAGGCAAACCAACGGGGAAACTACCTATTCTGAGAGTTCGCCGATTTGGAGACCAACTCACAATATGACTCCAACTGGAGGCAATGGCCTCTTTGAGCGCAAGGGATTGCGCCCCACTAGATGGGGAAGGAACCTTTGGGATAAAGGAATTCAAGACCAGGTTTCATTTTGAGCACAAAATACCCTGGCTGCTCTTTGGATGGATCCCCCACCAGGGTTGTTCCCCCAACTTGGGACCTTGTTTGGGATGCTCGCGGGAAGCAATGGGAAAGCGTTCATTGGGGTCCAATGGTACGCATTCGGAGTGATGCCCCAACAACCTCGCGGGAATTTTCAGAGCCAGAGCATGAGCAGAGACCCCAAAGCTGCCAGCTGTCAGGGCAAACTATCCCTTAGAAGGGCCTTAGCACCTGCCAGAACCCTCCAAAACCCTACCGGAGCCCTCCCAGAACCCCTCGCGGTTCCGGAACTCTGCGTCAGCTTCTCCAGAGCACTCCGAAGCTTGAGACCCCATGGCTTGCAGCTGTTGGGGAATAATTGCCTGGTTTTCGGGAATCGGTGATCGATTCGTCCGCAGAACAACGCATCCAAAATGGCTGAGGTTTCTCATCCCAGACAACATGTTCGCCGCAAGGAAAATCCGGGTCCTTGCTTTGGAAATGGGGTTGTTGCCCCCCCCCCCAGAAGTCTCAAGGGAAGTACACGTACTCCTGGGGGGAGGATTTAAAACAGCCCAACGACCGCTTTTGGACAGGTTTTGAAGATGGGAAAGCAGTCGTTGCAGGGTGCTGGAGTTTTCTCTTTTTGTTTAAGGATGGCCATCAAGAAGTAATTGAGTAGGAGATAGAAATAGAGCATCATGACTTGCGCAGAAAACCGGGACCCGTTTGGGGCTGAAATGGCTGTCGGGCCTTCTTGCGTTCTCATGACTGTCTGGACTCTGCCCCCGCTACTAGCAGTGGATGCAAAGTTGGATCAGTCACCACCACTTTGTGCACGGGTAAGCTTGGGCGCGTGGGTCATGCTGGCAGTTGCACTGCCGTGGATTCGACTGCTTTTGGGATTGCTCCAGAGGACCCTTGCGGAGTCCGGGGTCTCCATTGGAGACTCGGGGGGTCTGCCTTGGAGGGATCCTTCATTTCATAAACCAAGTACCTTGGGGTGGTTCTCCAAAGAACCATGGGTGAGCATGCGGTGCTCATCCCGCAATAAGCTTGAGCTCACCGAGCGTTTGATAAGCAGCTTATTCGTGAAGGTTCTCGGACAACCACAATCCTTATCAGGAACACAGACGTGTGGAAAACCCATATGTCCAACATGGACCACACCAAAAGAAAGACTTTTGGGTTCTTATGATTGAACCCTTGCTTATTTCCCGCCCTCGCCAGGACAAAAGGTCAGCACGCAATTCAACAGAGCTAGCTGAATTGCGTCGAGCTGGTTGCGTTGAATCCCCCGCAACTGCGCAGCGAATTGCTTTCGGCTACAAAAAGCGCTGCACGCACCTTTAAGTGAGAGGTGTTCTGACACGTGGAGCCAGGTGACTAGTTGCAAGGTTCAGTGGGCCGCCCCACCATCTAGATCCTTTCTTTTGTAATGGTGCATTTCCCTCAATCAACGGTTCCGGGCCTAAAAAGAATTGGTCCTTCCGTTTTGCCCTTCGGGTCACTGATCAAATTGGGATCAGCCGCTTCTCTTTCTCGAGAATCCCTGTATTCCTATGTGGGTGGTTGGAACAGCACCATGGCCATTTCAAGATGAGTTTCCTTGGGGTGATTTTCAAAGGGGGCTAAGAAACATGTTTCTTACTGGGAGCCCGATTTCTGGTGGACTTAGATATGTAGCAGCCGGCTTTGTGGTAACATCCCCGTCCACCATGAGCGACGGGGAATATTACCAGCTCCGATTTGGCTGGTACTGGGTTTGGCGATTCCCAACCACCACAGCGAGGGAGAGAAGCCCCAATGTTGGCATGCTAACCGCGGGGTTCCCGCATGTTTTGACTGACTCATATCCATAAAAGGCCTGCTTTGGACGAATATATGTTTGGTTGGTAAGGGGGATCGTGTATACTGCGGGTGTGCCTGTGTCTGTGTGTGCGTTCCGGGTTTCTAGTGAGTGGTGGGGATGTGGTTTATTCCAACACTACAAGTTGGAATCAATTTACTGCCGGATTGTGTGTCAGACGGGTTTTGCACATTACTGCTGACCCAAGACGTCCTGCACCTCCGCAACGAGAACATTCTCATTACGCCTCGCGCTGCCAACTTGATATTAGTGGTTTGGGGTACACAAGCTCAGCCGCACAATTGACACACTCCTGCACCCCGATGTCTTACTGTTCAGCGTTGGACTCGGCGGGGCTCGCGGCCGCACCTCCTGTCCGCAGCTTAAGCACGGGGCTCGGGTCGGGGGGGCGCGGGCCCGAAACCGCACGCCGCACGCGGCGGGGGTCGGTGTGTCGGTGCCATGGCGACGCCTGGGCAGCTGCAAATGTATAACAAGCTCGAGGCCAGGCCTCTCCCATCGGTGTGGCTCGTTTTTTTTGAGGGTATCCTTTGCTGGATGTGAAAGGGAAGCCACAGGGAAAGCCAATACGCCCTTCTTTGGCCGGCAGTTTCATTTTTCTGGTTTGCTGCGTATGCGACCTGTATTTAACTCCCTGCGTTTCTCCAACTGGGGGGACAAAGGGTGCGACAGTTCGCACCATGTCTTGGGGCAGAGGCATGTTTGTCTTGTCCTGTTTTTGTTTTTTTAATGTAGGGGGTTGCCCTGAGAAAAAGTCTTTCTTGGCGCTTCCCATACAACTCCTTGGCTACGATCTGGAATGGAGAATGCCCTCCCTGCGCATAGATCCAGCCGTGTAAATGATGTCCACCAAAGTGTCCGACCACTTAAACGTTATACCCATTGAGGCATTTAAGTTCCCTGCAACGGGACCTATGGACTCCCCAGAGCATAAACATCCAAACAAATGCGGCCAAATGCACATCCCAAGAAGAACGTATTCGCTTCATACATGTTACACCAGAGGAAATCGGGCCCGTCAAGACAACGGACAAGCTTCCACCATAGCGAGAGCCACCCCGCTCGTGTTCAAACCTCAAAAGAAAACTACTCATTTTGTGAACCCCGTATTTTGGAAAACCAAGAAACGTTGAAACGCCAACTCCTCTTTCATCAAGTTGGCTCATTTGGGTGTGATTCCTTTCTTTCAGGGTATCTGGAGGATCTTGTGTTTCGGCCAGCCCCATGTCACGTGAGTTTTCCTTCGGGGTGATGTTTTGGATGGGGAATTGTCAAAGCCCGGCTCACGCAGGTGTCAGAGATGTTCGGGCTGGACCACCGGGCAGAGGGCCCGGATGGGAAGATCCGGCGAGTCCACGTGAGACTTGGATGGAGAGGGAGGTGCACATGTTGGTGAAACCGGGTCCTTTAAATGGGGGTGACCTCCTTTTGGTTCCTTCTAAAACCAACCCCAAAACGGTGCCAACTCAAAAAATCAGACCAGATGGTGATGGACTGAGGGATACCCTCATGGTGAGGATGGTAAGGGAAACATGATGCCCAGAACGATATCGTGGACGTGAGCTCGTCACGAGACGTTCATCTTGACTCTTCAGTGGCAAGCGGATCCATAAGTTTTCCACCCCAAAACGTCCCCGAAGGGACTTTTGGGTCTAGAAAAGAAGTAAATCCTAGGCTTCGGGTTGAATGACCGTTTGGACTCATAGACTCTTGTGAACCCCAGAAAGGGAAACCTAAATGAGTTGATGTGAAGCACGAATCACTGTCGCGCTTGCATGCTCAAAGGAAAGCAAACTCAGACATGTTCAGTGTAGCTACTGCAGCCAGGGTCCCACAAGTAAGCTTTTTTTCTCCGCTCTTTTTGAGAGAGGCAGGAGCATTTGCATTGTTCCATCTATGTCGAATTCACTGGGCAGGCACAGGGAATTCTGCACTTGGAAGCACGGCAGAGTCTGAAAACCAAATCAAGCGCATCAAAGGCTCTGTTTTCCTCACCAGAGATATGCGTAACTTGACGGGTGTGCTTGTCATAAGCGACGTTCCGGCGTCCGGCGATTTAGGGTTGAACAATGACCAAGTATATCTCTCTACATGTATATATATATATATGTATACCTGGACCCTCAAAAAGGAACAACATTTTGCTTAATACGTTTTTGTTTTTTCTTATTTCGCCAAATGAGCGGAATTTCCGAATCTAGGCGGAAACTGCCAATTGCATGTTTCGCAGCGTTTTCTGCTGATTTGGCCTGATCATATATATATATATATACATATATATATATACACCGACCAGCGTTTCTCGAAGGGCTTGCTGCCCCCAATTGTTGCAATCGATGGATCTGTGCCAAAATCCCACAATTTTGGCCACCCAACATACTCGGAAAAATCGGCGGGAAATACGCGGAAATCAGCGGAAACTACGCGGAACGGCCAAAATGTGTTTGTTAAAACTTGCCCGTGTCGCTTGAACAAGTTGCGGACTGGGCACCAGTCCCGCTACGTGGCTCTCATGAACAGCTGGTGAGGAATGGTACTCGACATGTTTTTTTGATGACTGTCTGCAGGTTGAAAGGGTCTAGAGTCTAGAGTCTAGAGTTCGTGGGCTTGGAATTGACCATGATATTGATGAGGGCCAGGTAGTGGCTGGCAAGCAACCATGAAATGAAGAGGTCGAACCGAAGCTCGCGTTTTGTTTTTGGCAAATAAGCGCTTTGTCCAACAGCTCGCGTTTTTTTTTTGTGTGTTAAGGAACATGTTGGGGAATTGTTCTTAAAGAAGTTCTAGGTATATTAGCCTGCATAGCCAATGTCAGCCCGGCACTGACGCGTCCCTCCGTTCTCTCCGCCTCAGGATCCCAGACGAGAAGGTCTCCAATGCGGTGATCTTCCACATCTGGCTGGAGGCAAGGTTGGTTGGGAAGAAATGTTCAGGCACCCCCGTGTACAGGGGAAGCCAAAGGAACGGTTGGGCAAAACTTGTTGAAACAACCAACCCCTGACCACCTTCAAGAAAAAAACACAAAGGAGGCTGATTAAGCCGTAGTATGCAGTGGCTTGAAACCATGGGTCGTCACGGTGGCCCAAACCCGGGGTTTGAGGAGTCTCGTTTGAAGTGATTTAGACCAGTGGAGAACGTGGGCTAGTTGCCACTTTTTGGTGGCCAACAAAACTCCCTATGTGATAATTACAGTTGTGGCATGGGGATCAACCGCTTTGGTAATCATCACAGAGGTTGGGTTATTTCAACCACCCTGCCATTCGCACTCTGGTGTCAGGATCACACCTTGGGCAACCTACTGCGCATGGAGCTCATGAGGAATGAGGCCGAGGGCCGTGTTCCAGCCAAAGGTTTCAGTGGTAATGGAGGACCAGGTTTGATGGTTGCCGTGGTTCTCACAGTTTTCCGGTTACCAACAAACCTGGGGTCTTCTCCAACTTCACTTTGCGGTTTTTGCTTGAATGAAGCAGAATCTGAAGATCTGATTGTTGGCATACCCTGTTGGGCCAAGAAAAGAGAGGTGAGTGGGCCAGGGGGATATAGATTCGTTGACATCTGAATCAGCAACAGAGATACGGGCTGACGATGTTGGTCGCCTTCCTGGATTTGAGGCAGACGAGTGGCAAGCAAAACGTGTAAGCTTTTTGGGGCCAATCTCAGGAAGCGAGTAAGTGGTCCCACACCAAGATTAGTTTCACACGCTCGAAGGACCCTTTTGGGTTGCTGAAAGGAATGCTTCGTGAATTAAAGCGCGCCAGACCTCCAGTGGATTTCCAGGGGACCGGGGTGCGGGCCCTCGTTTTGGCGCTTTATGTTTACTCGGGGCTCCCGCCGGCTCCTGCAAAGCAATTTTCTGTTTTAGGGTAGACTTTTGGGTGGAAGTATGGAACGGAACCTGAGCATGTGATCTTACCCAGGTGTGGCCAAGCTGAAGGGATACCTCCAAACCGGAAAAAGGGAAGCAGCTACCTGGAGCGGTTCGGTTCGGTTCGGTTTGGTCTACTTCTCATTTTGAAGGGTGTTTGAGGGTGGTGCCTTGGGCACCACAAAATTTGGAGGGCAGCTTTGAGGACGTCACTGTAATGGGCCAGTTTTACAACCAGCGCGTGTTCTTGTATGTTGACCTTGGCTCACATCAGCTCGTGTTCAACTGTTCTAGGTTCTTGTCATGATGCTGCACACCTCGAAACTTTGGAGACACAGACAACTAGCGCCATCTCTGCTTCGGCCTTTATTTGGACCCGGTTTCATGCTGTCCTCATGTCACAGCGTGCAAGGGTCCCAACTGTTGAAAAGCTTCTTGATTTTGACACCACGGTTCAACACATGAAATACCACAGAATACCAAAACCTCCCAGAAGCCGTCGCCCCCTTCGAGGTGCCACGGTTCCCCTTGGCTTCAATTTTGACCCAGGATGAATAAACCTCTGATAGATTTATAAGGGGGCAATCCAATGGTAGAGGGGGTCCTTGATTTTGTGAGGAACCACCCAATAAATCCGCCGGTGGCAAATCCAGGGACATTACCAAGAACCGGCAAGGTGAATGGATCCTTGACGGCAGGTGGGCAGGTGTCTCGAGGTGGTGTGGTGGAAATGAGCTCTTTCCCAGTGCATCCCATGCGTTTTCGCCGCTACAGTGGGTAACCCTATTCGTTTTTAGATGGTTGCAAGCCCTTGATAACCTACTGCAGGCAATTCTTCAGGGTACCCTTTTTTGTAGGTGGGTTCAAGGAGAAAAACAGACGCCCATGCCATTTTGTGGGTTCCCCTACTTTGAGACACACCCACACCAGGGCAAGCGGAGCCCCGATTCGCACCCAGGTTTTCTTGCTTCAAATCGGCCAGCCGCTTCCAGCCAATCCACTAGCCAAGGTAACCAGGGAAATCATCTCGTGGCTGTGGGTCAAAACCGTTTTGGGATCCCATTTTGGGGTATGTGCACCACCCATTTTAGAACCTATTTTAGAGGGGATTGGGATGCTCAGTGGGGGTACAGGATTTTGACATATTTTCACCCATGGCCATGTCAGAATCCCCGGACAGTAGAAGCTGAAAGCACTTTGCAGAGGCGGCTATTGATCATGTTACCGCTGGTTCACCTTGTTTCGTCTTTGTTCGTGTCAGGATTTAAATCCAGGGTTTGCGATAGCGCGATAGACCTGACTCCGATATCGTCGCGCATCGCCAGGCAGTGCTCTTTGCGGGGTACAAGGTTCCGCATCCTCTGCCGCTGGGCCATTAGCCGTAGACCCTGGGCTTTGAAGGGAAGCCAAAAGGGGGGGTTGTTTGAAGAATACATGTCCGGTTTTTGGTGTGACCAAATCGTGCCTGAGACCTTTTGGAAGCACATGGTGAATATCCATTCAACCTAAGTGATCGACCTTTTGCTCGTTCGGCTTGGTGCAGCCCTGTGGAGCACAGGAAGGTGACTCTACCCTCTCCAGAGGAGCCCCTTCAATCCCCTGTGAGTTCGCCAACAATTGGCCCAATTTTTGGGAGGGAGGATCAAGTTTCCCTCTAAAATCCACTACCCAAAAAGGTGCCCTTTTTTGTGGGGTGTGCTCCGAATCTATTTCATTCTTCGGGGTAAACTAAACATGAAGCAGAATCAGGACGTACATGTTCTGCGTGCCACTTCTTTCCGCGCCACGTTTTGTCCCATGGCGACTGGAGGTCTGGGTGAGTAGTGTCCTCTTCATTTCCGGAAAAAGGGGCTTCAATAGGGAATTTGACTGAGGGCGGGCACCCCCACTTCTGTGACACCGTGGTTGGTGAAAGGAAACCGGGATGAAACTGGGATCCATGTTGCCGGTTCCTATCTTCTTGAGACGAACCTGCACCCATAAATACACATTGACACATATATTTATACATATTTATGTATGTATAACTCACACCATATATATATATATATATATACTTAAGTGATACGGGAGCTCCTTGTTAGGGTACAACCTCAGCAGTATGCCCGCAGGATTGGGCTGCCGCGCAGGTGCATTCTGTATCCAGTCACATTGATCACTGTGCTGGGTGACGGTCCTTCACAAATCACAACGAGCTCAACGTTTTCGGGAGAAACGAGCTCCGTGATACGGGTCCCGAGATTCCTTAGATTGTGAATAGTGGTGTGCCCACAAAATGGACCGTGTTGTGGGGATGTCCGACTTAAGGAAACTCAGGTTTTCTGTGGGGGTCCCTGATTGTTAGGTTGTGGATTCCACAGACAATACGCGTCAGTCTTCCTGAGTTTTGGATGGTTTTAAAGGGAAACCAAAGAGAAGCCCACCACTTTGGGGTGTCCCTCTATTTTACGACACACCCATGTTATTCCCCCCCCCCCCCCCCGGATTTGCTTGAAGCCCAGGAACCACATGATCGAGCTGCGGCTGCAGACGACACCGGCCAGCACTCCACAGGAGCTCGTTGATTCGTCGTTGGCTCACTTGAGATGCTCAAACTGGGGGACATGAAAGGAAGGCGGGCCCTGAATTGCCGCACATGAAAAGTTCCAGATCAGTTGCTGACTTGGTTGCTTGTTCTGGGTCCCAAGTGAAGAAAAGGCTTCACCGACCGAAAGGACCACTGCAAAACCCACTCAAGCCTGGAGTGGGTATTCCGTTGAACGCAAAAACAAAATGGCCAATGGAGGTCCAGGCGACAACACACGAGCAACAAGCAAAAGCTAGAGGGTCCCATTGTTTGCTGTAGAGTTTGCGCGTTTTTGGGGGTGATTGGGACATGGCTCTTCCGGTGTGCTCCAAGGAGCCTGAGAATGATCGGTTTCCTTTTCGCTTCCCGTGAAGATAAAACCGACGCCAAGTTGGCATCCTTGACTTGCTCGTAGGACAAGCCTCCAAACAGACCTTTCTTCACGTGAACAGGAAGACTACTCCGACAGGGTTTCTCCGAGCCTAAGGACCAAACCTCGAGTGGTAAACGGTCTCCTTTGGTTTCTCTGGAAGAATCTTCCATTTGCGCTTCAGAATATGTTGTTGTTTCCTGCTGGTTTGAATGGGAATCTAACACTGGATGTATGTGATTTTTCCAGACCGAAGCAAATGAAGCATGTCCTGTGCCAAGGAGGTGAAAAGTGGATCGCCCTCAGAGCCTGGTTGATGGACAATCAGTAATGGACTCTTCATGGGTTGGCTACCTTATTCTGATTTGTTCGAGCTCAAACGGCTGCTGCCAATGTCAACCAGGTGTTGGAATGCCTCCCAGGTTCCGCGCCATGGACACGCGGCAATTTTGCTGCCCGAAACCCCAAAAAAACTCTGACCCATGGAAGTGGTATACTAGCAAAAGGTAACTGGTATACAGCATATGCGCACATTATGGGGGAAAATCAGACCATTTTGGCACAACAATTCGGCATAATCATGCCATGTACGTGTTTACCATAAACCAAGAATTGGCCATAAAACCATGCGCATTTCAGTGCCCAGTGTTTCTCAGATGCTTCACATGTGTTTCTAGCAAACACATGAGAAGCATGTGAGGAGCACAGAGCCATTATCCGCAGACTCATGCACATCCAGTATCATTGCTACACACATGAGGGTTGGTAAGTTGCCTGCATAGCTTCCACACATGTGCGTTGATTAAGTGCTTGATATGGTTACAATACAGTGAGCATTGGGTGGGTAGGCACTATGGTTGTGACACGCATGTGGTGCGTTGTTTGCCCTCATTGGTTACATGTGTGCTTCTTCTGTGTGTGCATGTTCATATTACTGAGAAGATTGACATGTGCTTCTGACATGAAACTCCTGTGCTGAAGAGCTGAGCACAGGAGTTGCATGTCCAAAGCACATGTTACATGCCAACATGGAACATGCCCTGGCGCAAGCAGCAGCTGCAGCGGCTTGCCCTGCAGCATGAGGAGGTCTGCCTGGCGCATTTGCAAGTACAGCTACATGTTTCAGAGCGCATGGTTTCTTAACTAGACACCTCCAATCACTCAGGAACTCCAAGCCACATGTGCTAAGCAAAGCCACTGTTTTGCTATCAATTAAGCTTTGAGAAGGAGGGGCAGGACCGCATGGAAAGGCATGGTGTTGAAAGCCCACGCCAGGCAAGGCAGAGCTACTGCCTGCACAGCACTGAACTCAGAAAGAACATCATGGGTTGCACTGCCAGGCCACCTCACATACAACTGGGAGTTTTGCCTGTTGACCTATTGGTCCAGTAAACCACTGGAACACTTGACCACTGGAACACTGGGCCACCTTGCGACAGTTGGAACCGTCCCATCACAGCCCTTAATGGCAAGTACAGCCACCAAAAACAATGAAATTGTTACATGGATTGCTGGACCACCATCATGCCGCACAGTTGGAGCTCTCACATCAAGAAGCTGAAATTGTCCACCTGAGGTTAAGAAGACCCTGGTCCCAGCGGCTCTGCAGGGTGCTGGCCCCAGTGCAAAGCCTCCCTGAGTTCTCAAGGTCACCCAGCAAAAAAAACCATAATATTTCATTCTTGCCCTGCAGTTGCACAGCAGTTTCAACCTCTCTGGTGACCCCTGCTTAAATGTGGCAAGACTGTCCGCTGGTCCCATGTTGAGTGGGCCAGTGAGTGCTGATGGTTGCTGGACACCTTTCAGACCAACTTCTAAGGGCCCGACCCTAAGTAGTGCTTCAGACACTTGGGTTTGCATGTGGGAGCATGATGTGTGCCCAGTGGCCGTCAAGTGGATCCAGTGCATCAAGTGGATCCAGTGCCACTTCAGGAGCCATGGAGATGCCATCATCGGCCCCAGCATCATCCGACAGTGCACATGAGCTCCGAGGTGTTGGACGCCATAGGCTCCCTCCGTGAGGAAGTTGCCAGTCTCAGGGCCGATCTTACTCAGCTTGAAGCTCCTGATCCCCGAGTTCCTTTGCCCCTGCTCCTTGTGTGGGCTTTCCTGGGTGGAGGCATCACCTTTACGATGATCGTTGGCTACATTTTCCATTTTACACATGATTGCTGATCGAAGTGGATCCAGGACAAGAGATCAAGTGGATCCAGGATGATAAAAAAGGGCACTCTGCACCGGGCTGAAATCACATGAGTGGCAATACATAATATATATATATATGTATACATGGGGTCAAGTGAACCATCTTCAACAATTATGGAGCATCCTTCTACTCGAGTCCTTGTTGGGCCAGTGTTGGCTGCCCATTGGTAGTAGTGCCTCCCTTCCCCCGGCCCAGGCCTCCACGTGGACTATGGCAAGCTGACCAAACCTCAGAGTGCACGTGCACACAAGTCACAGTGTTGGCACATGGATGAGTCTTGGTCACAGTGAGCGTGTGTTTCTGTAGCCAGCATGGACCCTACCCATGAGGAAATGCAGTTTTTCAAAGAGTGGGGTGCACTTCCTCTGACCCAACTGCTTTGCAGTAGCAACACATCATAAAGAGCATCCAGGCAATGAGCAGGCAGCAGCCTGCAAACATGACTGGCAATTCAAACATGATGAAGCCCGGGCGGGCCTCCTTATGCTTGGATTGCCCAGTCATGTTTGAGCGCATGCAAGTTGGCTCCATGCACCACAGAAACATGGACAAGACATTGCAGGAAAACACGCAAATCCTGACTGGGTGATTTGGCGATTATAGAGGCGCTTGTGTCCTTTTAAGTGACCCGGCCCTGCTGTGAGGTCGCTGGCCAGGAGGGCCGGGTGTTCTCCGCAGAGGAGCTGGTGCATGCGATCAGCCTCAAGTACAAGCCTTGCGACCTGCGTTTGGCCCACGCACAATAACATAGATGTATATACGTGTGTATGTGAATGTTCTGTAGGATATACCATATGACGTAAACATGGCACGCCCGGCCTTGCGCCTCCAAAGCGTCGGGCTTGATCTGCTTGCTCTGAGCGGCCTGCACTCCATTGCATGGGCAAAGGTTTACAAGTGGAATGGTCATGCACACCTTCTTTGCTGGGGAACCCGGAACACATGGTTGGGGGGGGGGGGGGGTTGAGCGCCATGGATGAGTCATGCATGCAACTGGCCAAACAGCGACTGCTTCCAAATCAAGCCTCCGGATCCGAACCAGCGCAAGGGCCTGCAAAGGTTGGAGCACACACACACGCACACAGCACGCGCAAAGACGGACCTGGCCTGCTGGTGCAACAGCCTGCTTCGCTTGCTCCAAACGGCCCTTGAAATGCTTCTTGTGCTGGTCACTGGGGTCAAAATTCATCGGCGGCGCCGTTGCCAAGTGCTGCAACGTGGACTCCAGGCAATCAGGCGGAGCCATGTGCGGGAGAGTCGTCGAGGCCTGCTTTTGCTTGGCTTGGGTCGGGCCTTCGGGAGCAATGTCAAAAGGCTGGGTGTCCACGTTGTCGACTGGCGAACCTGGCAGCAGGAGATATCACGTTGGACCGTTGAGCCCTTGCAAGAAAACAAGAACGGCCTGTGAGCTCAAGATGTTTCTTGCCACGCGAAAACTTCTTGGAGCGCAGGTTGGGCCCAACAGCGTCCTTGAGAGCTTGCAGCCAATCACGGTCCTTGCGTGCCACTGCATGCATGTTTCACAGAAGACCCAATGTCAAGAACTGCATGTGCACGAACCGCAAATCCCAATGGCCTTTCTTGACGTCTTCGCCTTCTTTGCCTGCCTGATCACCCAGCTAGCCTGGGCAGCAGAAATTGCAACAAATGCCACGCATGCAGTTGAGGGAGGCGCCATGGACTTCAGAGCACATGCTTGCTCATGCTATCAACATGTGTGTGCACACACACACATAGGTATATATATATATATGCACCAGGGTGGACTTGAACCACCATCTCTACCGCGGCTAGCAGCCTGACAGGCGCTTTCATGGCGTCTTCGGACGAAGCCTCCATGAACGCCTAGCAGGCTGCTAGCCGTAGGGTAGCGCCTTGCCCGTTAGACACCTGGCACTGTTGCATTCATTCAGAGTGCCGGGACAGACATGCAGCCACAGCTAAGGCGGGCTGCCGCCAGATATCAGGCAACACACACATATATATATATATACATATATATATATATGTATATATCTATATATGTATATCTTTCTATATGTGTATATATATATTATATACATATATTGTGGTTGGCAGTGTGTGTGTGTGTTACCGCACATGTGGCTGAACGTACAGTTTTGCAGTTGATGGAAGTTAACCTTGCTATTCTCATCCAAACGAAACATGATGTCGGCTACCTGTGCCGGTTGGCAGTGCTGCATTCAGTATTCCTCAGAGTTGTCAGCTTGGCACGCCGGGCAGGCCAAGCCGGACATCCCAGCCATCACGCAGGCCGTTGTTGTTTGGGTGTTCTTTGATCGTGGTTCAGGGTTTTTTGCCTTTCAACGTGTAGGCCCAGATCACGGAGACGGTGATGGAGGCCAGGTTGGTTTCTCGCTTGCTCCACGCAGCAGAAAAATCTCCACACA